AGGACATGTTCATCCTTTCTGCAACATCATTCTGTTGTAGTGTCTTGCGCACTAAAAAATGCCTCCGAATCCCATCCTCCTCACAAAATTTCTGAAACTGCAAAACTGTGTACTCTGTGCCGCTATAAGATCTCAAATAGTTGATCTCTCTGCCAGTTTGGTTCTCCACCTCGGCTTTCCATAGCTTGAATTTAGAAAATAATTCAAATTTTTGCTTCAAGAAATACACCCAAACTTTCTTTGACAAATCATTAATAAATGTAACAAAATACAGATATCCTCCCAATGATGATTCCCTAGTAGGGCCTCATACATCAGAATGCACATAATTAAGAATATCTTCATTTTTGTGCTTTCTAGTCATAAAATTGACTCTAATATGTTTTCTAAGAACATAGAACTTACAAAAATCAAGCTTGCAGATTTTAACACCATGCAACGAGTTTCTTCTTTGCAATTTAGTCACCCCACATTAACTAAGATGACTTAGACACATATGCCATAACTTTGTATCATCATCATCTAACTCCACAGAATAAACTCCACCCACAATTGTACTCTCTAATAGTTTGTAGATAGTCACCAGGTGTTCATTGGAGAAGGGCAATGAACACAACAGAATCATTTCTCGGTCTTCATCCTCAATACTCACTTCAAGCCATGATAAATCTGTGATTATTTGATTGAAGCCAGTCACGTGCTCCAACATATTAGAACCTTCTTGCATCTTCAGCCCATACAGTCTTTGCTTCAGATACAATTTATTCGTCAGAGATTTGGACATAAACTGAGCTTCTGATTTCTTTCATGCATCCACTAGAGATTTTATATTTATTATGTGATACATAATCTTATCTGTCAGGCATAAGCATATGATTGTTACCACTCATTGTTGTAATTCTTTCCAATCTTCATCCTCCATATTATCAAGCTTGGTAGCTCACAATGCCTTGAAAATTCCTTCATGTGCCAATAAATCTTTCTCCCTTGTTTATCATAATCCAAAGGTATAAGTTCCATCAAACCTCTCCACTTTGAATTTTGCACCAGAAATTGTCATCTAAAATGATCTTGCAACAAAATTTTCTCCGTATTCCTCTACCTCAATAATCCTTCATGAAAGCCGAATTCGTTCCCTCGAGCCCGTCTGCTAAATTGCGAAAAAGAACCCTTGGTGTCCAACAGTCGCTCCTGTGTTCTGTGATTCACAAACTCTTCCTCCCGCCAAACTGCTCCTCCCATCTAACGCGATTCCTGAATGATTTGTTTGCAAACCCTTGTTCGTGGACGAACCCCAAATGCTTGGTGCGAAACCTCTATTGTGTGCCTCTGTCATGCGCGAACATGGTCGCAAGCTTTTTATGAATCTACTTCGCAAAACCTCTGTTGCGCAAACCTGCTTGTAGACCGTTGTGAGCCTCTGCGCACAAATCCCTTACCGAAACCTTTCATCAATTTCGCTCAAGTAAAACCACCGAAGCCTTTCTTCGCTATCCTAAATCCTTCGCTGGTCACTAACCCTTCGCAAACTGGCGAAGTCGAATCATATTCTTCTCTGAAATTTGGTTTCCTGCAATGAAACACTTAAGCCCTATCCACCAAACTCCTCAGCCAAATGTTCTTTGCCCCCGCGCCGATTTCTTCTATGCCCTAGAACTTCGCTCTAATACCACTTGTTGAGAAATTAGGGAAAAGAACAAAAGGAATCGACACAAATCTATAAGAACACAAAAAGATTTAATGAGGTTCGACAAAGATACCTACATCCTCGGGAGCAAAGTGGCGACTTTCCTTCAAATTCAAAAAAGAGTACAGAATACGGAATAAGCCTTAGGGTTACAAACAGACATATATATAACTATAGAGTACAATATGTAATTTCAGAATTACCTTTGTACTGTATCGCGGGCGTTGGCCCCGCACCCCCAACCTACGTAAAGAAACTCTCCCGATTGGACAGATTCTTTCGCATGTACAAAATGGATGTCGGCAGTTACTTGCATGTAAAGAAACTCTCCCGTTGGCCCCGCGGGGCGTTGTCATGTACAAAATGGATGTCGTCAGTTACTTGCATGTCGCACAATTCTTATTTATTTATATATCTAACACTCAAACTTTAATATATACTTACAAATCTTTAATATCACATAAAAATATCATTATTACATACTTTTAAAATTTTAAATACATCTTTTCATGCATAAATTTATCACCTGAGAGTGTTATACATATAACCATGAAAGATGAGGCGCTAGATATGTACATATATAAGAACTTTGTGGTATGTATATAAATTTTCACCAACAAAAACATAACAAACTAAAAAAGCTTCAAAATTTAAAATATTTTTTTTTTTCTAGAAAAAATATTTATAATTATGAGCGATCTCAGAAAAGTTAACACAAAAAATGCAAGTACCATTTGTAAAATCCTTAAAATCATCAGGGATTCGAACCCCCAACCTGAAGAATCTTGTACCATGGATGCTAACCAACTAAGTGGGGCATGCGGCACTATATATATAGATATATATATATTGAAGTTTAATTGTTAATACACAAAAATTAAGTGTCTATTTGGGGCAGTTGAAGTTTTAACTGTTAATACACAGAAATTAAGTGTCTGTTTGTGGCAACTTATTCGCGCGGTGGAAGTTCTGAAATCGCCGACCATACGTTTGTTTCGCGCGTATGGATGACGGTACAAAATCGCACGACCCAAATTCTTCATTATTCGCGGCCGCATTTTGGAGCCCGCTTTAGGCATTTCGTTCGAGCTTATTACCCTCCAGCCCTCGATCTCGTCCCCGATCCCTTCTCCTCTCCGACCCCGGCCTCGATTCCTCCAGCCCTCGATCTTCATCTCGCGATTTCTCCCAACCCGATCCGGTCGCTGTGCAAGGCAGAGAGCACTCGATCTTTCGTCTTCGATCCGGTTGTGATTTCTACCAACACGTCCTAGTCGTGATTTTTCCATCCCTTGGCAGACGAAAGGCTCAAAGCTGTCCAACACTTGAACCGCAGGACCTTTGGCAGACGAAGGACTCAGGATCGAAGCTCTCCTTTAGTCCTTTTCTTCTCAACACCTTCCTAGTCCACTGTAAGCATTTTTCGAGATAACTAATTCACCTTTTTCACAGCATCTTACATGATTTATGGTCCTCCAACTGATTGTTGGCTTTTCTCCAAATAATTTGTTGTGTTAAACATTTCTTTAGTGTATTTTGATAACCATATATACATCTAGTGTTGATCTTAGCTTTGTCTCAAATTGAATCTTCTAAAACTACAGAATTTTAGAGTCAATGTCATGTAGTTTGACGATAATTACACCTCATTAACATCATAAGTAGACAAGGTTTGCTGGGATTTTCAGAAAATTCTGTATTTTATATATCATACATAAGCATAAAAAGTTTTCAAAAGAATTTGTAATTTACTTTAGTTTTAAGTGTAATATTTATATTCAGACTTTGTAATGTAATTTAGTTTTATATTCTGTTGTTTTAAGTGAAATATTTATAAAAGCATAAATGATGAGTCATTTGAATAACTTCATATGTAAGAGTAAAAAGATTGGATGTTAAGCATGTAAATAGATAAGTGTTGTGTAACATATTTATACCGTATTCTTAAACGATAAGTGTTGTTAAACGATAAGTGTTGTGATAAGTGTTGTCTAACACAACAGATCATTGATTCTCACATACTGTATTCTTAAACGATCTTTTTTCTTAATGGTTGAATGCCAAAAAAAGAATAGTAAAGAAAGCCATTAGAATTTATGAAAAGTAAACTTGTAAGCTGTATTATAAATGAACCATTTATCTTAACTTAATAATAAACATAGAAACAAAGAAAATGCAAACTTGATAATGTGGATGGTGTTCTAAGTTGTTTGAGAAAAATAGTTCATCAAATCATTCTCCATAAAGCATAAAAAGTGAAAAAATAAGCAATCTAACTGGTTCTCAATTCCAAAGCATTCACTTGTACGTGTTACCTATTACATAATCCTGCAGAAGCACTTGTCAAGGCATCATTATTTCAATAGTTTTTAATTTTCATAATTTCTGGATCTGAATATAGGTTTATTTTGTAGTGAGAGTTTTAAATGGAATATTCTAATATTTCTCATTGTAGCCGTAATTGTATTTATTTTTATTTTATTTCTTTAGATACTCACGAGAACGTGAGTACTCTGTGTTAACTTTTTGAACTGATCTGTAATGATTTGCGGGTTCTGTTAGCTTCCTAATTTGGAGAAAAGGTTTGCCTCTTAGACATTTTTTAGGCTTTCTGACAAGAATCTAAGAATATGTTATAAGGAATGGTTGGCCCATCCTTAACACCATGCTTTTGCGGGTAAAGAAAATTCTAGAGGATAAAATGACAACAAAAACTAGAATTAAAAATGCTCACATAGGAGGAGATAGTGCCTAGTTATGCATGGGTGTAGGCAATAGGCAGAATGAATTAAAGCAACATATGCATCATTTAACTGGGTGCACAAATTTTGCAATTAGACAGAAGAAAAATGGGTTGCATAAAATTAATTTGATGGGGTTCGCTAATGTCTTCTACGGAAGAGAAATAATGATGGGGGGTCTTGTTGATTACCTTGGAGGTAAAGCATGAAAGAGGAAAGATGATACTATTTCAAGCTCAAAAATACTGGGTTTTTGGAGTGTAAAAATAAATTATCATAAGCAATAAAGATTTATTGTGACGAGATTATTTTGAAACACTTAGAAATTGAAGACTTCACAAGATTTAAAATTTCAAACATACAAGATTTAAAATAGAACCTAGGAGAGAGGGAAGCCTACCGAAGTTTGATATAAGTGACTCATGTTTTTGGGGGAAAAAAACTATTCAAAAAAATTCTCCATTTTATGATCATATCATTAACATTAAATAGTTCAAAACACTACCCACATAAAATTTTAAAAGATAATATTTCACATGCATGATAGGAGTCTACAAACATATTCGCAGCCATCAAATAGGCAACTTACACAAATGCAAATAGTAAAATGCTCCTTTTCCTTTTCTCTTAAACAAACATCACAAATGTGACATCAAATCATTTCCTTAACAAACATAAATGAATCCATGTGACATAAAATATAAGCAACACCAAGCTAACACCTAAGTAGTAAGAATTGTAGGAAGGTAGTCAGACTTGGTGCCAAGAACCCGAGCTTTGGTGTCAGGAAAGAACTCCATCCCCGATGACATAGCAATCTTGCCATTATTTTCGACACTGATAGGGTAACTTAGTAGGTGTCCCGATAAGTCACCATATAGAAGAATTCCAAAGTAGGACAACCATCTCTCCTCTGCATTCTTCCTCACCTTGAGGATGCACTCCATGCTTTCAGGGTGGAGGAAGGCATCATCAATCATTCCCAAATGCTCGCACCAGAGTGATAGACGAAAGCCGTGGATCTGACCTCTTGGAGGTTGGAAGGAAGATAAATGGTTGGGCTGGTAAGCTCCCATGGCGATCTCAGTGTCCCTTCCTCCATCCATTGACCTCTGGTTGATGTTGGCTGAGCCCACAATTATGTACTCATCATCCACTGAAACAAAATATGAAGGAATTTTTATGGCGTTAGACATTAGAATCTATTTTTTAGCTTCACATTACTATGTAGAAAAAAATATTTATATATATACCCCAATTAGTTCCTATGTATTTATATATCTACCACCTAAACTTTACTTTTTACATATATGCCACCTTACCTATGCATGAGAAGTTGTATTTCATCTTTTAAAAGTTAAAATAGTGCTATATTTTTAATGATATGAAAGGTTTGGATGGTATGAATGTAAAATGTAAAGTTTAAGTATTAGATATGTAAATCCATAGGAATTTGTGATACGTATGTAAATACACCCCCGTCCCCACCCCACCCCACCACCATAAAAAGACGGTTTGAAAGATTCAGAGTTACTTTCTTTTCCTTAAAAAAAATTATAAGTATACGCCTACTTGATTGACATTGCAATAATTAGTGAAAAAATTAAATAGAACAAAAGAAGAGGAAAAAACATCTATTGGCATAAAAAAATTTTAAACTATTTGAGATTTTATGAATATGTAAAGTGTAGGATATTCTTGAATCCTAATTTTTTTGTGAATCACACCCAAGGAGTAAAGCGTAAGAAGGGAGAGAGGAAAAGAGAGAGATGAGTGAATGTTAATGAACAATAATTTCTATCTTTATTCACAAAATTTTCTCTCTATTTATAGGAAAGATGACACAATATGATAATGTTAAGTTTTTAACCCCTACTTTAAAGGGATTTATAAAGGATATTCTTAGAATTTTACATGAATGAGTGTATCATTCGATTGCTCTAACTCGGTCGGCTAAGCTTGATTCGCTTTAGGTTTGCGGGATTGGTTCAATAGTTTAGCTATGTCAACATTATCGATTAGTTGATCTAGTCTGGTTGTCAACCATTTATAATAGATGGGGGACTTCTGGCCATCCCCAATATGATTGGAAATGTTGAGGGATTGGGTCTTGTCTCGGATCAGCTTTTTCTTATGGTTGGCTCATATGTCCTTTTATCACGTTTCAGATCGAACGGTTAAGACTCAGATCATGTAGTAGTATTTTTATCCTCCTCATGGCTAAGTCAGTTTTGGCCTTGTTGTCTTTGGCTTGGATGGCTACATTTGGTCGGACAAGTGGGCCTCATTTTCTTCTTCTAGTGAGCCTTCCCTCTTCTCCTCTAGATTGTTACATCTAATCTAGTTGCCCAATTTTCTCACTTCTTGAAAGTGATGTTACAAAAAGAATAATATAATTTAATAAAAAAAGTATATCATAATTACTCTTAATTATTGATTCAATAATTTAGCTCTTTGATTTCCAAATCTTTGACCCTTATAAATAAGGCTTGAGAAGAATCTTTACATTCTATATTTGTGTTGCTTCCCTTCTTGTTTGAATTAGTCAGCTACCAAGCGCTATAATAGAGAACTTGCCAAATCCCTTTGTTGAGATCCACAACAAAGATCTGCTTCATGTTGACTTCAGGAGATCAATTGAGTTGTACCACTCGAAAGGTTAAAGAAGAATAAATCCATTTCTAAGAAAAGAAAAGCAATTATGCAGTCGGATTAGGTGAGGTCGTCAGATTCATTACTCAGCATCGGGCGGGATAACGCTAAGGAGATCAGCTCAACTGTCAATCCAGTGGCCTAGCCTTCCACTGTGACATAGGAACCATCGACCAGACAGAATGTACAAGAATAAGTTGGTGCTCTGTTGTCTCCTAGAGCAGAAGATGCAACCAATGCTCTACCACCACCCAATAAGAACACCTTGTCACTTACATTGTTTGAGTGTGATCGACTCTTTGGTAATAAGAGCCATGATCTTGCTACTTGATTTGCAATTCATTTTGGTCTTATGCTCTTTACGTTGTCTTGGTGCAGCTAACCTAATCTCAAAAGTCATGAGCAATAACTCACGGGAACCAACCACGACACCCAAATAGTCTACCTAGGAGCGAATCAGGGGTAGCCAACTCTGGAGTGAGAATGGTAAGGTTTACTGCCCAGGCAATCCTCTCGAGGCCCATGTAGAAGCAACTAATGGACATCAAATATCCCCCAAGTCAATGCCTTGATGTCAAAATGAGATTGAGAACAATTTTGCTTGCTCGACCGGAGTTTATCGAGATAAGAAAATATGAGAGATGCTTGCTCATGTGTAGAATTTAAAGAGGATGAAGGAGGAGATGACCACTCTTCACCAAGAATTGTCAGATATCAGAAAAGGTCCTTCATTCTCTAGGCTCAAGAAAAGCAGGATCGGTTGAACTAGTTTAAGTTTGGGAGAGAAAATTTTTATAAGAGGTTGTTCTAGTTGGGATATATCTTGGTTGAAGCAGCATATGAATCCTACGTAAAATATTTCCTCTTGTGCTAGCTCCAAAGCACTTTCTTTTTTGCTTCTTTTGTTTCCCAATACATATAAGGGTGAGAGGTTTGATAATGCTACTCTTTTACTATCTTTTCCTCTCTAATTTTCTTTGTTCCTTCCACTTTTTTCCTTCTTTTACACAGCTCAATGGATCCAAAACATTCTCCAAAGGCTTTCAAGTTGATCGTCTCCTACTATAGATCATCGATTACTCGGGGGGATTGGTTCGACCACACGACGCCTATGTCTTGATCTCATCATGAAGCTTTGGGTCACTGCCAAGAAAGGTAGAGTTACTACTCCATTTGGCATCGATCACATTTTCTACAAAGACTAATTTCACTTTGGTTTGAGACTACCCTTGCACTAGAAGCTGCGGGCCATTCTTAATAACAATGAGCATATTTCGGCCCAAATATGGCCATAGCAGAAATCATGACCTTTATCATTTTTTATCTTGATTTAGGAATCCCTTGTTCGATGGAGATCTTTGCCTATCTATTTGAGTTTTGGATCGGTCCTGAAAGCAATGTTCAATTTGCCTATATCAGTAACTTTTAACTTTCAGGGATGGAAAATAAAAAGTTGAACAAAAAACTTTGCTTCTGCCTCAGTTCTTCTCTCTTGGGTGGTACATTCAGACCATGTACTTTGCGTACACCCCCACCAAAACAAAGAAGAAAGCATCTGATTGGGTATTGGTGGAAGCTGGGAAGGTCGAATGATGTCAACTTTCGATCCACCAATACCTTGATTCAGTAATTTTCAGCCATGTGTTACAAATAAATGCTTTCAAATGGATGACGAAGATGGGTTAGGCAGCCTCTGATGCTCATGAGGCCAAATGAGAGGCAGGGTTGCCACCCGAGCAACAAGGAAGAAGGATTATATGACCGATTGTATTGAATATGCCAGCCCCAAAATTGCTGAAGTGGATGGTTGACAAAAATCTATAGTAGTTCGTGTTGGGGAAGACCAGGAAGGTGTAAAAATGGTTTATTCTTGTGTATGATTCCTCTATTATTTTTCAAATGATCGTCACTAGTGAGCTAATCCTTATTAAGAGGAACATTGAAACAATGCCCACTGAAATTTCTCTATCAGTTGTGGGACCCTCAGATGCATAGCACTGAGAGGTCGTGATGTGAGCTTGACAGAGTTAAGCTGGCATGAAGGGGACACCTAGATGGAATGAGAAGAAGCAATGTTTGTCATCCCTAGCTCAGTCGCTCATTTCTTCATCAATCTTTCTATGAGGAAGGATGTGGGTTGTCGAGCGGACCTAAGTTCAAGATCGACACCCCCCATCCCCCAAAATAAAAGGATGTGTGTCGTAATGGGAAAGCACCCATGACTTGCCTCCTCCTCCCATCTTAGAAGAAGTGGAAAGGATCCATGCTTAAATAGGTTTTAATGCAAGATGAGAGAGTAAAGCTAAGCAACAACTCAAATGATTGGTTTGCCTTAATCAATCTTAAGAAAGGTTAGTATTCTGACTCCTCCATTCCAACTCTTTACGTTTTGAATCTTGTTGATCTCATAAGAGCTTATACCTACCAGAGGGACCTTATGGAGAACAATCACTAAGGTCTATGTCAGATGTTCTATATATATATATATATATATATATATATATATATATATATATATATATAC